AATTATTCACTATTGTATCACAAGAAACCTATCCGCATTTCCTTTCATCAGCCCCGCCTAGACAGATTGGATACTATCAGTGGAGGTTCTACCTTCCTCCATGCCCTTTGGATCTAGATTCCCTCTTGAAAGTTTGTAAGCCAGTCACTTCTTGCCTTTGAAGCCCCGCACCCCCGCCCTCCATTTTGGGTAGCCAAACTTTCCTTCTATTTTGAGAATCTTACTGAAGTAGCCCTGGTGGAACAATGATTAAACCTAGAAGACATTCCAGCCTGGGAAGCCCTATGGGGAAGTCTACTTTGTCTTATCAGGTTGCTATGAGTCAGCCAACTTGCTCTTAGATCCAGTGTTGGTCATAGGATCGCCAGCTGATTTGCCCAGGACAGGCCTCCACCTCGCAAGTTCAGTGCCAAAATGTCAGCCTCCAGAGTTGGATAACTTTGGGTAACGCCTTGGTCCTTGCTCTTAAGCTTTCCACTAGAGAAAGACAGTTTCTGGCATAAAGAAGGGCTTAGCTTAGGCTTCCTCTTGGCCAGAAAGGTGTTCTCAGCTGGTTGGATCCCTGTTGTTCCAGCCTCAGCCCTGTCCTTAGTATTGCCATGCCCAGGGTTATCTTACCAAAGACACTTATGAAGTGATGCTAGGAAGTCAAAGGAAGACTTCCCTTCAATCATCTTTGCAATACTTACACAGAGCTGTCCCTTTAGTGACAGAAGATGCTTAGAAATGCCATCATTACCATAACTTCAAATACTTACTGATGAAGACCAAAGACCACAACTGGGTTGCACCTCAGTGTAAAAGAAAAACAAAACAAAATCCTCACCACTAGACCAATAAATCACATCACAATAAATAGATAAAAGCTTAAAGTTGTCAAAAACTTCATATTGCTCAGCTCAGCTATCAATACCCATAGAAGCAGCAGTCAAAAAATCAAATAGTGTGTTGCATTGGGCAAATCTGCTGCACAAGACCTCTTTAAAGTGTCTAAGAGCAAAGATGTCAGTTTGAGGACTAAGGTGCACCAGACCCAAGCCATGGTATTTTCAATAACATGCAAAAGTTGGACAGTGAATAAGGAAGACCATAGAAGAATTCATGCATTTGAGCTTTGGTGTTGAAGGAGAATATTAAAAGTACCATGGACTGCCAAAAGAACCAACTAAGCTGTGTTGGAAGAAATCCAGGCAGAATGCTCCCTGGAAGCCAGGATGACCAGACTTTGTCTCTCATACTTTGAACATATTGTCAGGAGGGACCAGTCTTTGGAGAACGATATCATGTTTGGTAAAACGGAGAGTCAGAGAAAATGAGGAAGACCCCCAAGGAGATGAACTGGCCCAGTGGTAGCAGCAATGGGCTAAATGTAGGAATGTTTGTGAGGCTGGCGCAGGACCAGGTAGTATTTCGTTTTTGTGTGCATAGGGTGGCTATGAGTCAGCATTGACTCGACGGCACCTAACAACAACATTACCATAACTACCAAAAATCAGGAAGAAAAAGACTAAACCAAGAATGGAAAAAAAGAAGCTAACCCATTCCATCACTATTCCTGAGTCCTGGTGTGACACCACCAGGTTGGTTTGAATTACAGGGTCGGTGGTTCAAGCTCACTAGCCGCTTCTCAGAAAGCCTATTCAGGGTTTCTATGAGTCAGAAGGAACTCAACAGCACTTAACAACAAAAGTTAGTGAATAAGGAGCTATGGTGGTGCTGTGGGTTAGGCATTGGGCTGCTAACCTAAAGGCCTGCATTTCAAACCCACCAGCTGCTCCACAAGAGAAAAATGAGGCTGTTTGCTCCTATATAAAATTTAGAATAAAAAATCCTATGTAGAGTCACTATGAGTTGCAACTGACTCCATGGCAGTGGGTTTATTGTTTTTCATGTGGTTTTGTTTAATCAGTGAATAAGGAGCTATGGTAGCATAGTGGATTATGAGCTGCGCTGTTAGCCTCAAGGTCAGAAGTTCAAATCTACCTGTCACTCTTCAGGAGAAAGGTAAGACTTTCTGATCCCGTAAACCTTTACTTGGAAACTCTATACAGGGTAGCTATGAGTTGGAACCGACTCAGTGATACACAACCAACAGTGTTCCCAAGGAACCTTGGTGGCAGAGTGGTTAAATACATGACTGCTAACCAGAAGGCTGGCAGTTCAAACCCACCAGCTGCTATATGGGAGAAAGATGTGGCAGTCTGCTTTCATAAAAACATTATAGCATAGAGGGTTGCTTTGAGTCAGAATGTGAAGTCCTGGTGTGGCACTGTAGGATAAGCTCTGAACTGCTAACCACAAGGTTGATGGTTCAAAGTCACTAGCTGCAAGTCTGAAATACTATACAGGATCAGTATGAGTCAAAATCAACTCAACGACACTTAACAACAACATAAGTGAGTCTGTGATGTGGCGCTGTGGGTTAATGCGTCAGACTGCAAAGTCATTTGAACTGTAAGGTCGATGGTTCAAGTCCATCAGCTGCTCCTTGGAAACCCTATGCAGGGTCACTATGGGTCGGAATCGACTTGACGGCACTTCACAACAACTAATGCTTGGCGTCCTGGTGTGGCGCTGTGGGCTAATGCGTCAGACTGCAAAGTCATTTGAACTACAAGGTCTGTGGTTTAGCTCACCAGCTGCTTCTTGGAAACCTTATACAGGGTCGCAATGGGTCCGAATCGACTCAATGACACTTAACAACAACAACAAACTAACGCTTAACCTTTTTCTTTCAACAGGTAAGAAAAATCAATCATAATGGAGCCCAGACCTCAGAAAAGTCCAGGTACCCAAGAAGCATAATCTCAGAAGAAAAATCTTTTTTTAAAAAAAATTAAAAATGACAACTCCTATTTAGCTAACCAGAGTACAGAGATGGTTTTAATGGGGATAATGGTGGCATTCTGGGACAAAGAGTCTTAGTCTGAAGAATGTGGCCAAGGCTATTAGATTTAGTTGATTCTTTTTTAAGAACTCACCTGTCTGGAAAGGTAGCATTTTTTACTTGAATGGGTCACGCATTCCATTTGTTGCTTAGCGATAGTGCTAATAACAAACTCTAGCCCATCAGAGATGAGTAATATGCCCTTTACTTACTATGAAATCCTGACTTGGAAAAGTCAGGCTTTATTATGAAGGTGACCGTTGTTGTTGTTGTGTGCTGTTGAGTCCATTTTGACTTGTAACAACCCTATATGACAGAGTACAGCCGCTCCATAGGATTTCCGAGGAACCGACTGCACAGCACATAACCACCAACAACAATCTTTACAAGGAGTCCTGGTGTGATGCTGTAGAATCAGCACTAGAATGATAACCGCAAGATTGGTGGGTCAAACCCACCAGTCGCTTTTCAGAACCCTATACAGGGTTACTATGAGTCAGAGCTGACTCAAGGGCACTTAACAACAACAACAATTTTTATAATGAAATCCTGTTGTGGTATTGTAGGGTAAGCACTGGTGTAACAACATGAAAGAAGCACTTGTCTTGTCCTACAGTTCCCCCCACCCCACCCCCCCGCAAAAAATCAGGTAGAGTGGTAGGCACAATATACACACAAACGAGCCAAAGAACGGGCTTCCACCTCATGAGTGAGGGGAGAGTCAAGTGAGTCTTTGCCTCACTTTTGTGCTGTTTTTCCTCCAGAGCAGGCTCCCGGTCTCCTGATAGCTGTCTCCTGATGCCTACAATTTCCTTTCATAATTTAAGGCCCATAATTGGTCATTTCTTCCTGGGTTTGATGTACTTCTTTCCCATGACATCAGTTCAGTTTTCATCTTATCGCCACATCCCTGATTTGAGGAAATGTCCCTTTTCTATCTTTCCTTTGACTAGACTGTCCTGACAGGTCAGGTTGTTTCCTGCATTCTTTCTGGTTGATCTGTGATTAGCCCCTCTTCCCTGTTCTAACTGCCTAACATTCTCCTCTGAGAGAAAGGAAACACTAATGCTTCAGAAGCATGGGTGATGACTGAAGACTCATTCTTAGCCACTGAACAGAGACATCATTGGGTGACAGGGTTTCCTGTCCCTCCTGCCTGTAAGTTAGGGCAGACACAGATGCACATTGAAGACACTGATCATCAACACTCAAGGCACTAACAGAGAATACAGGGAACAGTTACACAGGCTGTTGTCAGAAGGTTTGTCTGGCCTGATCTACTGTATAAGGGGAATAGGAACACGACCTTGGGTTAGCACCATTTGTCTGTGAAAAACTTCAATTCTTTTAGAAACAAAAGGGGTTGGCAAGTTTAATATACAATGCCCAAGCATAAGCAAAAAGTAATACTGTAGCTAAGAGTCCCAGTAGTGAATTTAGCCAGATTATGGAGAGAAGATATGTTTTTATTTGTAACCATAATCTTAGGGGAGGTCATTTCTCTGTTCTTCTAGCCACTTTCATTTTCTAGAAGGTGCTGTACTTTGAGTTCATCTGCTCCTGTTAACATTTATGTAAGTGCAGCAAGTTGTATTAGCAACTGCACAGACTCCACCCTCTTTGGCTAGTAGACAGTCCAGGATTGTCTATGGTCCATGAGCATATTGGTCAGTGAGTCCAATGATTTTTGAGTGGTTCTCAGTAATTGTTCAGAACCTTCCCCCAGTTCCTTCACTATTGATGAAACATTTTGGATGGCTACGTGGTTACTCACAATTCCGTACATGATGAATCCAGTAGTCACCAGAGCGGTGATGCTCAGGATTGGGAAAGTAAGAAATTCCCTTTTCTTTCTTTGGGGAGGTATATCAGAGCAAGTTAAGGTAGGAGCAATTTGCTCCTACCTTAACTTGCAGCTCTTGGACTATTTGGAATTCCACAGCTACATGGGTCACAAATCCTAGAATACTGGTTCCCCATATTTGGGCTATATTTAGGCATGAGGATGCCCATGTTCTTTGTTCTGGCTGAGAAACGATAATGCCCCTTCCAAACACAACAGGGATGAAGAATTTCCCCAGGTACTAGAGTTATCAGGATCTAAACCAAAGTGTCTAGAAAGTGGGATGGTAAACTATTCAGACCGATTGTGATATATGCACCCCAGGAAGTGGTGGTGGCCACCAGCCAAGGGACTCCATTGTCACGAGGATGGCTTTGTAGAGTTAAGACCCTGCATCTAATTACACCAAGAATCATAGCCCAATCCTGGTATGCATCCATTCCCTATGCCATGACATGTATATGAGGAGTTATTCTTCCTAAACCACCAAATGTTGGGCTGAAAGTCTTTGGTGTTGGACTTTATTGAAGTCCATCGTGTCAATGAAATTGGTTGAAAGCATCTGTAGTCCCTGTATGAGTTTATGGATTTAGGAATTATTTGTAAGATAGTTATCCCAGAGTCCTTGGGTGCTTTACTTAAAAGAGGAAGATTCTGTGATTTATTTTTTCACAATGGGTGCCCCTGGAACTGAAGTCCCCCTATATCCTCCATGAGGGGGAGGTTTCCCAAACACTCAGCAATTTGTTAGGTCCCCTCCTTTTCACAATGTCTTAGTCCTGGTGTGGTGCTGCAGGATAATGCACTGGACCACAGGGTTTGGAACCTCAAGGTCGGCAGTTCAAACTCACCAGCAACTCCCCAGAAACCTTTTACAGGGTTGCTATAAGTTGGAACGGACTTGATGGAACTTAACAACACTGAAAAAGAAGACCGGTTAATACCACTATTATTCAAAATTACACACCAACCACTAAAGCCAGTGATGATGAAATTAAAGATTTCTACCAACTTTAGTCTGAAACTGAACAAACATGCAATCAAGATCAATTTATAATTACTGGTGATTGGAATGGGAAAGTTGGAAACAAAAAGGAAGGATCAGTAATTGGAAGAAGTCTAAGCTGCACTGTGCCCATTCCAAAGAAAGGTGACCCAGTGAAATGAGGAAATCAAACAATATCATCGATATCACACACTAGTAAAATTGTGCTGAAGATAATTCAAAAATGGTTGCAGAAGGACATTCACAAGGAGCTGCCAGAAATTCAAGCAGAAGAGGATATAGAATGAGGACTATCATTACTAATGTCAGATGGATCTTAATTAAAAGCATAGAATACCAGGAAGATGTTTACTTGTGTTTTGTTGACTGTGCAAAGGCTTTTGACTATGTGGATCAAGACAAACTATGGATAACACTGTAAAGAATGGGTATTTCAGAACACTTAATTGTGCTCATGAGGAACTTGTACATAGACCAAGAGGCAGTTATTAGACCAGAACAAGGGGATAGTAAATAGTTTGAAATCAAGAAAAGTGTGCATCAGAGTTTATGTTTTTTTGTTTTACCATTCTTATTCAATCTATAGTTGAGTAAATAATCCTAGAAGCTGGATTATATGAAGAAGAACATAACATCAGGATTGGAGGAAGACTCGTTACCAACCTACAATACGCACATGACCCAACCTTGTTTGCTGGAAGCAAAGAGAACTTGAAATACTGATGAAGATCAAAGACCAGTCTTCAGCATGAATTGCATCTCTATGTAAAGAAAACAAAAATTCTCACAACTGAACCAATAAATAACATCATGATAAATAGGTAAAAGATTGAAGCTGTCAAAGATTATATTTTGCTTGGATTCCCTGATGAATGCTCAGGGAAGCAGTGGTTAAGAAATCAAACCATGTATTACATTAAGCAAATCTGCTACAAAAGATCTCTTTAAAGTAATCAAGAGCAAAGATGTCAGTTTGAGGACTAAGGTGCACCTGAGCGAAGCCAGGGTATTTTCAACTGCCTCATGTGCATGTGAAAATTGGACAATGAATAAGGAAGACTATAGAAGAATCGATGAATTTGAATTATGGTGTTGGAGAAAAATATTGAAAGTACCAAGGAATGCCAGAACAAACGAATCTATATTGGAAGAAGTAGAATCCGAATGCTCCTCAGAAGTCAGGATGACAAGAATTTGTCTCTCACGCTTTGGACATGTTGTCAGGTGGGATCAGTCCTGGAGAAGGACATCATGCTTGGTAAAGTGGAGGGTCTGAGAAAAGAAGAACGAGATAGATTAACACAGTGGCAACAACAATGAGTGTAAAGATGAACCTAACAACTGTGAGGATGGCACAAGACCAGACAGTGTTGTGTTCTGTTGTGCAGACGGTTGCTATGAGTCAGCACTGATTCGAGGGCACCTAACCACAACAACAAATTCTTAGCAGGGACTGAGTTTTTCATAACTAAGTACAAAATAGAAACACTGCCTAGATGTAAAAGCTAAACCAAAGCTCTTTTTAAAAAAATTAAACAAAGTTCATGTCCCTGTGGGCCCAAGCGTTGCAGACCGTCCAAACCATAGGCTCTGAGGATCAGACTTTAGCCACCTAGCAGACATAGCAAACTGTCCCTCATCTGATTATTCAGTTATGCTTGTTAGTAATCGCATACATGAGCCCTGGATATCCACAGATAAATGTAAAAACCTTCCCTAAAAGCCAAGACTGTAAATTCCAAAACGGCAAAGTTTCCTCCTCCCCCCCAAAAAAAACAAAACAAAAAAAGCTAAAGAGGATAGAGAGAAACACTGTTAACTGATGATGTATGGAGGGGATTATAATCAATGTAATGAAACAAGTCATATGAATGGTTGAATGTGAAACTGATGATGTGCCCTGTAAACTTTCACTCAATCCACAATAAAAACCTTAAAAAAAAAAAAAATTAAACAATATGAATTGTGTCTTTCTAAGTAATGAAGATACTACAGATTATTGTAGATATATATGTATTTTTTAAATATAGAAAGAGATTCTAGAAACAGATCAAAGTTGTATAGCAAGTGGTTTTGTTTTTATTTGCTGAGCAAAGAGCCCAATGATCTTGCTCTTGTGGCTGGTGTTGCAATGGAAACTGAGGCAAACTATGCCTACTTCTAGAGTCCATGAAATGTCCCAGGAATCAAATAACCTGAAGTGATATGAGCTTCTCAATGTGGCCTGAATGAAGCTCACAGCTGTGGATAAATAACAATCACACACTTGGCCCTCTGTCTCCGCAGGCTATTCTTTTACACAATTTTCTTCAGGTATTCTTCTCCCCTTCCTCTCCCCACAACAAACTGAGTAATCTGAAGACCTTTCATGAGATAAACAGTGTTTTCCAATTGAAGCAGCTCTTTTTAAAAATGTACTCAGAACAAAGTAAATCCTTTTCACTTTCTTTCATCAGGCAAACAATTTACATTTTATCATGAAAATGAAGTCTGCAAACAAGATTACTTTATTAAATCACCACCCCCTCAACTTTTCTTTTCCACAGTGAGTATCCCCTACAATTTAACAAGCTTCCCAAGTCTCCCACCATCCTCATGAACATTTCCCCCTTTCTCTTCCCCAAAGATTTAACTGACATGCAAAACCTTCTCATTTTGCAGGGCTCATGGAAAAAGCGGTTTTTTGTCCTGTCAAAGAGGATGGAAAGTGGCTTTAGTCTTTCCTATTACAAAGACCATCAACAACGAGGGTCCATCGAAATTAACCAGTGCGTATCCAAGTCCATCGAAATTAACCAGTGCGTATCCAAGTCCA